CTTTACTATTATCAGTTTCCCTCCGCCGGTTCCTCGCATCATATCGTACAGCAATGGGCTCTGTCCGTGATCCCGTTTGAGTTTCCTCATGTCCCTGAACATTTGCAAATGAGTGCAACAAAGTATGTCTACGGCTGTTCGATGAGGGAAGGAAACTTTGCGACCAGGCATAACAGCTGCTACAAGATAGATAGCTTGGTGAAGGTCAACGTGGAGTCAATTCTCCGGAAGGGGCTTGATAATCCACCATCCCAGGTTCATGGATGTGTTGATACTCGCTCTATCCACGAGATCATATACTCCCAGGATCCGCATGATCCCATCCAAGTTTTTGCTCTGCCTCCAAGGCATTACGCACAGGAATGCTCATTCGTGCCTCGCAAGGATGGTGTCTCTGAGGATGATGGATGGCTAGTTACGTACGTCTTTGACGAAGCTTGGCTGGACGACAGTGGGGTTCCTCTACCTGATGCACACAGCGAGTTGTGGATCATTGATGCGGTGAGCATGAAGGAAGTTGTTGGCCGGGTGATCTTGCCACAACGGGTTCCATATGGGATGCATGGAAACTGGTTCTCGGAGGAAGAGATCTTGAACCAAAGAGGGGTCCATCATTATCGCAATGAGTAGATACGACAACTCCATGCAAGTGTCTGAAGATTGGGCATTGCGGATACGAGGTCGCAAGTTGATATTCCTTCCCGAAATGGATCCGTGCATTGTATCGTATCTTTCAAAACCATATACTGTAATATTCAATACACAGAACCCTGGTTTAGTGAAGATGATCGGCGCAAGGGGATTGGATGCATGCATAACGCACCTTGGGACGATGAGATATCCTCACGGAGAATATTCCCGCAACAATTATCTCCTGTGATACGTTCGTGTGACTCTGCCTTTTATCCGCGTGATGATCGGGTCAAAACCAGTGACAATTTGATAATGATTTGTTGAAGCAGTCACCCATGTAGGCTTGGTTGGCGCTCGGGCCACCACAGGAAGCCCCTCATCGCGCTCGTTTCGCTGCGCGCTCTAGATAGGCAATACAACTGATTTTGCTGCATTCTCTTGCTTCGTTGTGCTTACTCCCGCTGTAGGGCGCGTGCCTTGAATTGGTTTAACAAGGATGGTCTGCATCGTCAGGAATGGAGAAGTGCATGGAGGTAACAAGGATTGGCCTGCAATATGAGGGGCATGCCACAGAACAAGTATCTGAATAAAGCCAACAACCATATATTTGTCGTTGTCGGGATCCTCCAATACACATAGTACAGTTATTGATACAGTGACTTTTTGGAGAGTAAATCAGGCTTTACCTTCTATTCCACCATGATATTCTCCTCAACAAGGCCCAGGCTAGATGGTATGACCATGTTGCGATACAGTACGCATTTTTCAACCTGACAGAAAAGCAGTCCCCACAGATGTAACTGTTTGGGACTGGCTCTTCGAATCCAGGCATTACACGGCGCAACAAGCTACAAAAAGAGGTGGCTTCAACAATGCTGCCACGGGTGAGCGGATGGGCTACAAGGATGTGAAAGCTTATTCCACTTTCGCGTCAACCGCGTTAGTACAGAACCATGGCCTTCGGCCTGGTGACACCGTCATCATTCTTAGTCCGAACTTGATACAGTATGCAGTAGCAATGATGGCGATTGTTCGAGCTGGTTGTCACCCACGCTACATTGGCGTCCTTCAACAGGTATGCTTGGTTTACTGACTTTCATTAGGTGGCATTGTAGCAGGCGCATCCCCTGTTCATGGTGCAGATGAACTAGTCTATCTCCTCATTTCTTCACGCGCCAAGTTTATTTTCACCGTTCCTTCCTGTATGTCTAAGGTAATGATATCAGCAGACAGGGTAGGAATTCCGCATGCGAGGGTGTTTCTGCTGGAAGGGCGACAGGATTCTCAAACAACGCTGCAGGATTACATTGATATTGGAAGATCTTATGGCCCTGGCGGTCAGGAGGGGTCGTTCAAGATACTGGATGGGAGCAGTAACCGGGATTCGTGTGGATACCTGAACTTCAGTAGTGGAACCACGGGACGGCCAAAAGCTGTAAGTTTCAAATCATTGCATTTGTCTTCATGTGTTCCTATAATACCTGCTAATATAGAATGGCAGGTCATGCTGTCACATCATAATATCATCGCACAGTGCATGCAAGCTAGGCAAACGTCTGACATCGAGAACAAGAAGATGCTGGCCGTGCTCCCACTCTATCATGGTAGGACTGTGTCCCCTCTGGATGTATTTTGGATATCGGCTGCTAAACTTAACCACAAGTCATAGGATTGATCCATCTGATACACGTGCCCATAATGCGTGATATGGAGGTATTGATGATGTCGTCATTTACCATGGAATCCATGCTAGGCACCATTGTGAAGCACCAAATCACGGAAGTGCCAATTGTACCCCCCATGATTGTTCGACTTCTTAATGATCCAAAAGTGGCCCAGTATGATCTTTCCCATGTTAAAACCTTCTCTTCTGGTGCAGCGCCAATTGCAACAGAGTTACTTCGGCAGCTAGAAAAAGCTTATCCCGGAACTGGCCTGAAGCAAAGCTACGGGATGACGGAGAGTTGTGGCGCCCTAACAACCCATTCCCTTAATGAAGAGGGATACAAGTATGGGCATACTGTTGGTACCATCATGGCTAATACAGAGCTGCGGATTGTTGATACAATGACATCATTTCCCTTGGGTTATAGTGCACAGGGAGAAATTCACGCCAGAGGCCCGCAAATAGCCATGGGATATTTAGGTAACGATAAGGCTACTATCGAGACCTTTCCTCCAGATGGTTGGCTACGCACTGGTGACGTTGGCTTCATTGACAGCGAAGGATTTCTGACCATCACCGATAGGATCAAAGATATGATTAAAGTCAAAGGCATAGGTGTGTCTCCTGCAGAGTTGGAGGATAGCTTGTTGCAGCACCCGGCTGTGGCGGATGCAGCGGTTGTAGGTATTCCCGAGGAATACTCGGGACAAAGACCGAAGGCATATGTGGTGATGAAGGGAACATCCGACAGTGGAGCAACTGGGGAGATGTCTTGGCGCGTTGTGGGTCAGGAGCTGATGGAGCTGATCCGGTCTCAGAAAGTGCGTCACAAGTGGCTGTCGGAAGTTGAATTCATAGATGCCATTCCAAAAGTGCCCAGTGGTAAAATCCTCCGCAGGGAGCTTCTCAAGCGCGCAGATGCAGAAGGCATGCAGCAGTGCAGGATTGTGCGGGAAATTCAGTCAAGGGGGAAGCTGTAAAGGTTTAGGGGCATATGTGCAACTTGTCGCATCCAAAGCAAGCTCATTTTATTATAGCCCTAGAGATTTTTGCTAGTTAGCCGTACTGACAACGGCCGGATCATATTCTTTGTATGGATTTCCTCTTCTAATATCAGCACCATTTACGCATCCCCGCAGTCAACGAAATACTGCTTCCAAGGCAGAGTTAGGAACGCCAAGGGATTGTCCCTGCAAGTGTACCGTTTTATGCAGCTTCCTGAGAACCCTTGCCTCATTAGCTCGCTATAGGCATAGCTTGACGTGAGACTGAACAAGGAATGTTACCCCTCATGAAAATAACGAAGCAGAGGCCTATACTATCCCTTGTATATACCCTGGACCAGAAGCCGAACGATGCCTTCTCTTTCAAATCCTTCATATACTGCGAACTTTATCTTTCCGTCACCTTTTATTGACACTCAGCACTGACTTCTACCATGACGACCCACGTACTGAAGGCTTACCGAGCATCTCCCTCCGGTCAGATTCATCTTGACCATATCACCCGTCATCTATCCCCTGACGAAGCACTGGTCGAAGTGACGCATGCCAGTATATGCGGTACAGATAGCATCTACCTACATTCTCAGCAAGTCCTAGGCCATGAGGGAATAGGCATAGTTAGGGCGATCGGGACCGATGTGCGGAGTGTCCAAATCGGCGACCGTGTTGGAATGGGCTACGTACAGAAAACGTGCGGGGAATGTCAATCTTGCAAATCAGGTAATTGACTATGTCTCATCCGTCATGCAATATTGAGTATTGTCGCTTAGATGATTTATTTCGAAACACTCTGTAGGCTGGGACCAATATTGCCAAAGAAAAGACCTTTATGGCATGTCTGAACCTGACCGCGGTTGCCTCGGCTTTAGAACTATCTGGAACGCGAACGCCCTTATACCCATTCCAGATGGGCTACACTCTGGTGATGCTGCAACGCTGATGTGCGGTGGTGCTACTGTCTGGACTGTGCTTAGTCGCTACGGCATGCAGCCTAAAGATCGTGTTGGAGTATTGGGCATCGGCGGCATGGGGCATCTGGCCATCAAAATGGCGGCTGCGATGGGATATCATGTTGTTGCTTTCTCCGGATCGGAGTCCAAGAAGGCGGACTGCTTAGCCTTTGGGGCTAAAGAGTACTATCTGACTAACGGCGAATCAATGGAAGGTCTGACTACACTGATTGATTTCCAAGTTATCCGCTGACAGCTACATTTAGACATGGAGCCACTGAAACACCTCTTGTGCGGTTCCAGCTCGGAAGATTATACGTTGTAAGCCATCGATTTCTTTTTCGTCACTTTGATCATTCAAACTAAGCATGGGCTCGGTAACAGCATTCTTTCTCTTCTGGCAGTACATGGAACAGTCTATCCATTGACAGTCTCTCTTCAACCGGCTGCTATTCGAACCATCATGCTGATCAACAAGGGCCTTCGGATCCAAGGTTCTTTGGTCGCATCCCGTGGGGATGTAGCCAAGATGCTGCAGTTCTGTGCGGACAAGGGAGTGCGACCTGCCACAAGCATTTTTAGCCTTACTTCTACAGAGGAGGTCAACCAGGCCATGGAAGGCCTGCAGCGTAACACGGTTCGCTACAAGGCATTGCTTGTCGCAGATAAACATCCACTGAAGCTCTAAGGAAATATGACAAATTACAGTGTTTTTGGTTCCCTTCAGCATAGGATGGTAGAAGCGTAGTGTAATGCAGTGTCATTGGATGATATTATCGTGCCTGCACCTCTGCAGAAGGGTCGACGTCACAAAGTATATATGGGATCGAGAAGGACAGATCAAAAGTAGGCGGGAGACTCCAATATGGCCTACCACGGCACCACTTCTCCATCATATTGGTTCAACCCTTCTGCCTGCTCCCATCCGGGAACTCGAATATTGAAGAATTTCCCATTATCTTCTTGAGTTGCAGGAACTATGATATCCAACAGACCTTGTACACTCTGTTCAGCTGTTATATCCGCCCTCTCTCCACCAAGGTCTGTCTTTACCCACTTTCGAAGAAGTTAGTTCCATTATTGTTTTAAGACACGGCGATAGGAAACGTACACCCGGCGAGATTGCAAGGAACGTGAATCCCTGATCCGCGAGAGACTGCGCGTATTGCGTGGTAAGCATATTCAGTGCTGCTTTACTAACTTTGTAAGCTGGCACTGGAAAAAGTGCGAACCTGGGTGCCATCGTGATTGAGCCAAGTGTTGTCGAGCTGAACGCAGTTAGAACCACGGTAACTGATGTCTGGGCGAGGGGCAGAAGACATACATGTTTACCACTTTCTTCAGATTTCCTTTCTTAAGCAGTGGTAAGAAGGCACTTGTTACCAAATGGGCACTGGTGACATTGGTGTGGAAGACGGAGTCCAAGTTATCCCTATTGACAGTCAATAGCGCAATATATGGAATCAGGAGTATTACCGCTAACATATTCTCAATGCCGCCCCGGGTTGAGGGCATGATACCGGCATTGTTAATCAGGACATCAAGGCCTTTCCCCAATAGTACGCTTTCAACGGTCGCAACCGCGGGTTGTATACTGTTCTTGATTTCGACATCCATGGATACATGATGAACTCGCCCGGGGGACTGCGCCACTAGACGTTTTAGATCATCGGTCTGGGTACGTGCCGCTGCAAAGATGACGGAGACTTCGCTGGCGGGTTTGGAGGCCAGTGTGCGGGCTGTGGCAAGACCAATGCCACGTGAAGCGCCTGTAATCAGGTAGGATGCCATGGCGAGAAAAATATATAAACGATTAGATAGATTGAACACGAGATTTATGCTCTCTCCCTGGGCGTCTCTTGTATCATATTCCAGTATGTGAGCTCGACTATATATAACGACGGTGGAGACCCGTATATGCACGTATCCACCCTCTGATGCTTTGAAATCAAAGCCAATAATTAACCAGTGAAGCTATTCGAACGTATAGTAGTATGGTACGCGAAGGGTAAAGAAGGACATCGTAGAATCCTTCGTTAACGTCATTAGTGGGGGCTGCTGCATTTGATGCCGAACCCTGGATTTGTCAGAACGGCTTATTACAAATCACTCATCAGCCCATATTGGCAGAGGGCAGATTGGAGCTTCATTGTATTATACGGGCCCCATTTTATTTCTTATATCACGTTCTTTCTGCTCATGAAGGAATCCAACATAATTTGCATGGCGCCGCTCAGGCCGTGATCAGGGCAACTGGCGAATCGGGAGCGGCACAGTATTCGCAAGCTCCGACCGTGGACTGTGCCCGAATGCATAACTTCTCACTCATCTACTGGAACTACTCAGTTCAATGGAGGTGGAGAGGGATCGAATTCCCTACACTTTCAGAAAATTATTTAAATGGGGTAGGATCTATAACATATGTGGAGTCATGATCTTGTTGTTGTCGCTCTGGCACAAGCTGTCGCTCATCTCTGGAGGCCAACAATATAATACTTCCAATCATAGACAATCATCTTCATCGTCGCCCAGTTCTCCTTCCTTCTGCGTCAGTCGATCGAAAAAGTCCAGGACTACCGCATCCTGAAGCCGCCGTTCTCTTTCTTGTCGAACTATGCTCCGACCTCGGCATGCAGAGCGTCAATGACCTTCTTCCGACGCTTATTATGCAGAGCATGCTGTATAGTCCGTTTCACGCCTTGGACAGGATATGTAACGAGAACCAAAGAACCTAAGTTCGATGTGTTAGCAAGCATTCGCACAACTTCCCCACCCCGTGTCTCAATAACAAGGTATGAGAGATCTTACTTATCATGAACTATCTTCCAACCGCCCCAAAACTGCCCTTCAGAAACCCCGTCGCAAACCACTTCGCTCCATTATCTCTCGCCACCTTATACGGTTGGTAAAAGGTATCCGTCATTCCTTCACCAATCCCAAAGGCAAAGGACTTAGCTCCAGCCATTGTTCTAATTTTCCAGTCCTTAACTTGGCCGTAATCGTGAACCTTGTCTCCATACAGGCCGGGTAGAACGCGAGAGCCCTCTGCAGCCACTAGTGGGATATCGACGATCACACCGGGTACGTACTTGATTGTCAACTTTCCAGAGGCTTCCACAGACGCTGACGTTATGGCGGCTGCTTTGTTCTGCTTTTGGATCTCGGTAAGTTCCGGTGTTAGTGCGATGTCGCTCATAGATCGGGACTTAGGATATGCTGACGCGCAGATGGGGACTGGAGGAATTGTGTGTTCTCTATGCTCGTGCTTGAGCGAATGGTGCCGGAAGGTGTTGATGGTCGCGATGTATGGCAGAACTACAGAAAATACATAATATCGAATAGAACAGAAATATGGGATACTAAAATTGGGTTTGATAACCCCAGACGGACACGACGAGGCTTGAATTGTTGGGAATTCACGCCTCATTCAATGGCTGCTTGTATACTACCCCATCGACGGTAGTAACCAGGGTCCCATTGGCGTGGAAAATATTAGTCATGGCATCGTCAACGACGTGAAATCCATCAGGGCTGGTTATCTTCGTACTAGACGAAACTCCAGTTCCGGTGAGGTTGGAATACCAGTCGAGGTGGGTAGATGAATAGGACACCATAGTGGCGGCCACCGACTCATATCCATTTATATAATGAAGGCCATCGTCAGAGTAGTTATGGTAGGTGGCCGAAATAAAGTTGATAGCGGAAGTGGCCTCGCTCTTTTGGAAGACAACATGGGCCAGTCCCGAATAGAGTCCATGGAGCGTAAAGTTGCCCGGAGGCACATTCAAGACCTCGGGAATGCTGGTGTTGCCTGGGGTATATGGCAGCCCCCATGGTATGGTATCGGAAACAGGATGCACAGGGTCAGTATGGTAAGGCTGCCGACTGGTGAGTCGGGCCATCATCAGACGTGTGGTTCGGCCACCGGGCTCAGTGGATATGGGGCATGGTAGCGGGTTGGTACCGCCACAAGCAGGAGGTATGACCATCTTCTGCCAGTACATGATCCGAGTGCCATCGGGAGACCACCGAGGATCTGCTCCAGCATTCCAGTTGGGGTCATTAACGCTGCCAGGCTGTCCGTTTCCATCGGCATTGACTTGTTGGCCGTAGTAATTGGGATCGTGGTCACCCTGAGCGTCCAGCAGCCAAGGTTGGAAGTAGCGTCGAACCCCATTGTTACGCACCGAAGAAACTGTAGCGATTGTAATCGGATCCGTCACAGGAGGAATACCACGCATCCCCGACAAAAATTCCATGCGGTCCGTGCCACGGGTGTCCAAGATGACCTGCCATCGGCCATCTGGAGAATCACCCACAGGGTCAACGTAGCCAGGGTGCGTGGTAACACGGCGGACGCGACCACTAGTCAAGTCAACGGCAAATAGATCGATATTGCAGGATTCCCAAGGACTACCTAAATACAGGACTTCATTACCGCGGCCTGTGAATCCTCGGAACTCTCCCACGGTTATAGCCTCCCGGTTAATGTAAAGTCGATCGCCTGTGACGCTGTACGGTTGTAGTCCGTTCGGGGAAACGAGAACAGTCACATTCACGATGTCATACCGAGCACTGCGAGGAGACCCTGTAGTAGGGGACTCGTTGAAGTGCAATCGGCCGAAATATCCATTCTCATTCAGCTGACCAGATGAGGTGGTGCTGTATGAGTTGAAACCAAGGTGAACGTTGTCGGGGTGCAAGCGTAGCTCGCGGATGCTGGCTCCCGACCCGGAATCATCGGCCTTGTTGCTCATTCGAATAGGATAGATGTATATCTGGTCTGGAGTGCACTCATCACTTGCCAATTGTCCCACTCGACATTCGATGATGTTGGTTCCAGCCATTGCGCGTCGACCGTCGGCGAAAGTCTGAGGGTAATCGCTCAAGGATGTACTGCCCACTTTGTTGTTTTCCGGTACACCACAGGTCACACACTTCCATGGGTCGCCAGTGGAGAAGTTGGTCCCATTCGTGCTGACCATGATCAACTGGACTCCCGTGTAGATGCTTGCTGGGTCTGGTGCGGCTGGGGCACCGGTGAAATTAAGGCTGGCCCAGACGTAATTTCCGTCTGGGGAGAAGTTGCCCCCTTGCATAAGAGATGTTTTCCCCATGCATCCGGTGCCATGAGGGTTAACTCGGCGGGTACAAGCACCAACATCGTCTGTGGGCACGACTGGTGGTAGTGGCAGTTGGACGACTTCAATTGGCTCGGGTGACGGAAATGATTCCGCGGCTGCGGCGGATAGAACTGATGAAACGATTCCCAGCGACAGAGGGAGAAGCTCTCCAAGGATGGGAAACAGCATGGTTTCAGAAGATAAAAACCTAGTTGACGACGAAACATGATTTCAGCAGCGTGGATGGAGCTTATATATCTAATGCGCAGACGGGGGAAATCCAGAAACGTCAGGAGGTCTGGTGGATTTCGGGAGTATTGCCGGCCAACGCTTGCCAATTTGCCGTACGTGTATGCACGGGCCAGGTTGATGTTGATCGTCTGCCTTGTGGGTCAACGGACCAGTAGAAAAGGCGAGTTAAACCTTGATGGCGACGGTTGATGGGGGATCTTCGGCGGGATACGCGTATGCACGGGCCATCTAAGGGGGTGAGCCTCTGATTCACAGTCAAGGTGCCTCGGTGATGACACTAGAACAGGTCAAACCAGGACTGCCTTTCACGTGTGTGTCTTACAAAGGGGACTAGCTTGAGTAAATAATAAAAAAACATCCCGTCTTGGCTGCATTGAGTCCAAGCGCCGTCGTATCAAGGTATTAGAGACCCTTTACAGTAATTGAGCGACATTGACGTGTAGAAAAGTGCCATGAACAACGGCCAGTATGTTCGCAATGTACAATATCAGAGCGGACCTGTGAGTTCGCAGAACTGCCGGCCCGTTGCATCAGACCCCTTCCATGCCAGCATCCTCAACAGGGGAGACGACAGAATCGACTTCAACGGTCGCTGATGCTAATCCCCCTGGAGAGCCAGCAGCCAACATGCTTCACACGGATCGCCTGTATCAGTTGTTAACTGAGGCCATCGACTCACTCAATGAGCATAATAGCCCGGAGATAGTAGAACCCCTGCCGACATTATCAGGTGCTCGATAGGGGTTTCATATCTTTTAAACGAGCTCTTGGCTCTCGCTGCCACGCATCTCAGTGTCATCCGCCGTGAACAGCACGACTATTACTGCCCCACTTACAGAATCATGCCTTGAGACTCTTTCATGCAACAAGCGATGCAGATGATCCTGGAGCATGCATTCCACGATTCATCTTTCCTCCATGCTCGGGTTGCACATACTGTGCAAAACTCTCATCTCCCGTGATGGTGACTTTAATGGCTTCCTCGACTCCTTTGTTCCTTGTCTCCGTTTACATCAAGACGTGCGTGTCATTATCGGAAGGAGCTGGAGCATGTTATTGCAGACTAGTAATCTCGGGCAGACTTTGGACTCTGCAGAAAGACAGTTACAGAGCGATGGGAGCCTGGGCCCAGGATGTACCCACCTATTGGCACCCATACAGCAGTCCAACTTGGGTCCCTCCATCACTGAAACCTATCGACAAACAATCGAAGCATTGCAGTCGGCAATACATTCTGGGGCGCTTGCATTACTGGAGCTTTCACATGACCCGTCAGTGTACCGTCGGAATACATCGACCTCCTCGCCCTTCGTAGCCCCGACGCTCTTACTGTGATGGCAGATTACGGGGTAGTTCTGCATTCTTATCGCCAATGATGGTTCTTGGGCTATGGCGGGCAATATCTGATCGAGTCGGTTATTGATTATTTGGGGCCCGCTTGGTCGGAATGGTTGGAATTCCCAAGTCATGTGCTGAGTGCAGGTTCACACGGAAAGTAGCTTTTTATAATGTTTCTGTTGGCATTTCGGAAGCGCATCTTACTCGTTAACAGCATACAGGCGTCATAAAAAAATAGAATTTTGACTGTGAAAGTTCCGATATAGGAGTAAACCCTTCGCAATCTATTCAGAAAAGTATCTATTATAAGATACATGAAAGACTGTGTCCGTCAGTGAACCTAGTATAGTTTACACCAACGCTTCCATTTGTTTTCGCAAAACTTGCAATAGTTTCTCGTTCTCCTTCCACCTTTTCCTGGCCTCTTCGTAGTCATCATGTGAGACCCATCCTTCTTCACCACTTAATTGAGCTCTCAGATTATTGAATTGACTGAACGCGGCCGCCCATGCCTCTGCATGCTGCCGGCTTTGCTCAATCTCTCTCCTTGAGAAGTGAATGGGGCATAGGCTTGTTGAACCTCGCTGTGCCATGATTCTGCCCCACTTCTCATATACCTGTATTAAAAGCTCTCTTAACGGTATTGGCCCATCCCTGGAAGTCTGACTGACAATGTGGAATATAAAGCTGGTGGGGTCATTATCATCTCTCATTTGGTCCATGGCATGAACAAGAGACGGGTTGAATTTCCGGGAGGCAAGCTCGTAAAACTTCTTCAATCTCAGTCTCTCTAGCTTCTGTTCGGCTTCTTTCTTTTCAGCGGTCGAGAGCACGTCAAAATCCGTAGGTAGCTTAGGCTGCAGAGCACCCCAGATATAAGAGTCATCACAATTGAATATCGAGGGGAACTTTGCCGTGAGGAATAGGGGCGCTATGTGTACTGCTTGCCAATCAATTATGCTTGTAATCCGAGTTGGATCATATCCGTCGACAAATATGTTATCCGCGTGAAGGTCATGGTGCAGCATGGCGGGGGAATGCGTGTTATCTGACGGTAGTACGTGAGGGAGCACAGCCAGAAATTTCTCAAGGAGCTGTATATGTTCTTTTCGTCGCTTTGGTGTCCTCCCCAAAGGTACAGTGGTATGGTTGGTGTTGCTGTGTCCATGCCGTATACGAACAATCTCACGGTTTGCAACGGCGGAAACATACCCCATGGCCGATTCCCCTGCGTTGTCAAGCTTAATAAGAGACTTCTGGGAGGTGACTGGCACTACACTCACAAGGGCCTCTGTCAATATCTAGATTTTCCACTTCGTCTTCCCAGAAGGACCGATGAGTTGTCGGGCCGAATACATATTTGGATCGGATATCAGTATCTAGGCCGGGTAGAGCAGTAATTCTTCTTCCCTGTGGGAATGTATCCCGATAATACAAACTGCCATGTAGGGTAAATTTCGCTTCCATCAATCCGCGTTCAATATGTACCAAGTTCCTCACCAAGCGGAAGCGTTGAGCCTCAGACATATTATACCAGACTTCGCTGAGTTGCTGCCCCTGTGCCTTTTCCATGATGATATATTCCGCAGCAACTGGGTTAGTCTGTGACGAAGAACTCCACGAGAGAACCTGGGGAACAGGTATCTTAAGATTGGCTCGCAACTATGACGGCATTAGGACACTGGCTCGACATCTGGATCCAATCTCACGTACAAACTCAAGAGTTGCCACTTCACTAGCAACAATATAATGAGAATGGCCGGCGTTCGGGTTGGGAATTCTGGCCAAGACCTCCTTACCATCCGCCATCTTTAGAGAGAACACCTTGTTGAACATCCCCTCGCACAATTTGTTCATTGCGACACATTGGGTTCCAAGTATCTGTCCAGTAATTTGCTGGAGTGCTGATACATTAAATGTGCTATGACGTTTCTCTAGTTGAAGTCTTTCATTGTATAGCCAACGACCGGATGTGTAATTGAAGTAGTGACTGTTTGTGTCAGTTGGCTTAGTACTTGCCGATCGAACAAGGGACCACGGAGAATATCGCGTTTTGCTCGTTATCCGCACAGACAATAGACGCGGCCTGCCAAGACAATCTTTTGTATGAAGCATGGCTTGTTCGATGGTCCTGCCATTAAGGCATGAAGGGTGTCGCGTAGCTGAACACTAGGTTTGCTCGACGACCAACGCGCTTTACAGAACCAGGCTCCATCACATGACGGCCGAAAATGCCACCAGGGCAAGTATTGCGCTGTTATTACTAAGCTGTGTAACCCTACACTTCGATTCATTAGAACTGGTAAATACCGGCCTGCACAGAAGTACGAGTAGACCCAGGGGGATGCAAGCTTTAGCATCACTGATGTCCCAAGATCTATGAGAATCCCCGGGGATACCTTGGAAAGCCTTTATATGGATCAGGTAATGTATCATGATGTTATAGTGACTCATCTGACTGTGGGGTTGTGCAGTTGGCTTACTGTGCAATTTTAGATAAGACGGCGACTTTTATCTCTCCTTTCCATTTTTTTATATCATGGTAGTATGTGTCTGCCCCCATCTAGATGCACAGCAAAATGCGGGTCAAAAACTTTGGTTAAGACAGATAATACCAGAGAGATTGTTTGTAGTTTTTTTGCCTGTCCCTTTAATAGAGCAACATTACATATATTAATCCCTGTCGATCAGTTTACATTTTGCTGATGGTCAGTGGTCCTGATACGCTAAATCTTCATCGTCGTTGTTGTGCACTATATCTAAGTTATCTTATTATCTGGCAACGTCAAATTTGCACAATAATGGAATTTCAAATCCGTCGTGGCTAATTCATAGTGACTGTTCTGCGCCATGAAATAAGTTCAGCAGTCCTCATACGCCGCGCAAAGTAAACTGCAAATGCAATGATGCAGGAATTAGAATCATCAAGTCTAGTGAGCGCTTGAAAAGGTCTTGCTCTGTCTGTCCTGGTGCAAATGATACATCATATCGCCGAAGGACCTCCGCAGTGACGCGCCTTAATTCCATCATGGCAAGCTGTCTTCCAGGGCACGCATACAGCCCTTGAATGAGGTCAGAAGCCTGTAATGGTACAAGGTGTTCGGGGGACGCATCTCACCAGTCTGGAAAGGAATGAAAAGCGATCGGTTCTTTACTAGCTCGGGTTTTGTGGTCCAACGCTCGGGGAGGAATTCTTCAGGCCGCTCAAATGAGCGTTTATCTGACATATGTTATACACTATGTTCATCAAATAACATGCTTTGAATAGGACGCACCTCGATGGATCGAGTATATAGGGATCTGGACGAGAACGTTGCCGGGAATATAGTTTTCTCCTATGTGGATGCCTTCCTTGGGGGTAATGCGTTGAGACGCCGCGGCAGCGGGCGCATATAAGCGAAGCGTCTCATAAATCACGGCGTTAAGAAGGTCTATTTTCCGCAGATTATGCTCGCTCATGTCGAGAACATCGTCTAATGCTTGTTGCAACTTGTGTGTAAGTGCGCGATCGCGCGCTAGGTTAAAGAAAACTTTTGTAGCCACGGAGAATGTCGTATCGCTAATGACGAAATACAATGGTTAAATATAGGAGAACGGCCTCCTTCAGTTGCGATAGCAATATCTTACCTTCCTGCAAGTAAGATAGAATACCCTAGTCCATGTAGCTTGTAGGTATCTAGCCTTGTCTTTGGGCCTTTTCCGTGAGCACTAAGTAGCCAGGAGAAGATGTCAGGATTCGGTATTCCTTTCTACATGGACTCAGTGATCGGTCACTAATTAGCCGCAGGCAATGTGCATACCTCTGTTCTCTGTCTAAAGTTAGTCTGAAGCCACGTCCAGAACCGCGTATTCTTTTTTCGAAAAAGGGGTGTTTTGATCAAGAGGGCTGGTATCCAAGGCATATGTCTCAAATATCCCATCATATTCATATCGGAATGAATAGAATCCAGTAGAAAGGTATCTCCCCCTTCCTCGGAAATTGTATTGAATGGTCTACCGAAAATAAGATGACCCATGATTTCGAAACTGTACCGTTTTAGCCACTCGGTTATGTTAATTGGATTTCCCGATCGGTCCTCGATTATCTGCAACAGCTGCTCGGTGCATTTGGCTATTACTGGCTCGTATGTCACGAGAGCTGTGATTGGATTTGGTTGGGTTAGAGATCCTGTACTAAACCTTTCCGGATATTGCGATTTCTCTCACCTTTGCTGCTAAGACTTTGGTCCACGATCTTCCGGCGGAGAGCATGTTCTTTCTTATCCCGAGTGAAGACAAGGCCATCCAGGGGCTCCATCAATATGTACCAGGGCCCTTTAGCTGTTTCTGAAGAATTACCATACAAAGGGTTCAATGCCGCAAGGTCAATGATGGAAACTTCCATGGGACCTGTCTGTTGTCAATAATATTCGGTATACGGCTGATGGAATTTGAATGATACATCACTCACCGACTCTCACGTAGTCCCCATACTGCTGGTGAAGTCGATGGACATCCTGGTGGATTTTCATGCGCTTACATGTCTGGATTGTAAGATACAATGTGGACAAACGTGCACCCAATGGGCCCGGGAATCTGGATAGACGATGAAAAAGACCTCTGTAAACAAGGATACTTCCAAGGATGCCCAGGAAATGGTATCCAATCAATAAGAAAAAGTCAAACGCGGAGATGAGCACTAAGCCATTGCGGGTAATCGGTGAGTGAAGTAGATACACCGCTCCGATGAGCGTGGCGCATAAGTAGCTGAGTACAATATTCGAAGACTTTGTATCCCATTCACCATGTCGAAATAACAAATGATGGAGTGAAATCCCGCTCACCCCGCCAAGAATCCCAGTATTATTCCAAATGCTTGTGAGAGCCATACTGCAAGTAATTGATCGTCGAATATATCAACTGTGTTTAGCTGGGGCGGCGAATACACTCTTATAACATACATATGACCTTCGCCGTCAACTCCCTCACAACAGCGGTCGTATGCTGGTGTAACCCCTCCTTCCCTCCCTCCAATTTGTAATTATGCATGACATTTGAAACGGACATTATGGTTCAATTCAACTCAATTCCTGATTATGTACCTCATTAAACCCACCATGTGGGTCCTAGCTATGCAGGTGCCTCGACATTTGTAACGAATTATATGGCCGCAAACGCCTCCATCGCCTCAAATTGCGCAATTTGCATTCCTCATGCATGAAATGGTGAATGTTGTATCACGAAATGACGGTCACGGTAAGCTAAGGATTTTCTACTCGACCAAAAGCTGATACAGCCAGCCACAACATTCTTATTTTAATACAGTCGATGCGACTGCAACAAGGGATGCTAACCTTATCGGGTGTGAGATAAAGCACTTGAGAAAATTGTCCACGTTGAATCCTATAAACACCCTCTCTAGTCTCCTAATCCTACCCATAACAAGCTACTTCACATCGTTCGGATGAGATACCTAGGTCTCATTGTCAATTTCATCAATCATTCAACATACCAGTTTTTACTTCTTCATAATTTTATACACATCAACCCGTCATTCCTTGCCCATCACGGATAGGAACGAGTGCAGGGAGGCATACGAAAAAGCCTTTCAAGAACACATGTACCGAGGGCGGCTGGGTTCACTCCTCAGACCGGATGAATGCCCTGCCCTCCATGACGCCTACTTGTCATCTCTCCCAAGCGACCTATGCAAGAGAGCTTATCGTTATCGCAGTACGGGCACTGGGCTACCAGCATTTGTTGTATGTTCCTGCGGAGGCGAACTCTGGGGCAGAGAGGATGGACAGCAGCTCAACTCAGCCACAGTTCTGGGCCATACTCTGCTTCACTATGGAGCAGAGAGCTCCTGTGGCGCGTGCATCAAGACGGGTATCGTTCTGATGTTCCGCACATGGTTGCTTAGCACCAGTGCCGACCGGGAATTGATTGCGCTTGCATGCACTGCAACATGTGAATGTATAACCCGACAATATTTGCTATCACCCAGCCAGAATGCCATTGCCGGTAATATCTCTGTTACTTGTCCTGGGCCGTGTCGCCTTCAATGTGGCGAGGGGAAGCACAGTCCAGCACCGGAAAGAGATGCATCTACGGCTGCCTGCCGGTCAGGAACGCGTGCATCGGGGGCTTGGCACAGGTGAGATGCCAGATCATACATCTGATTATCTGGTCTGCTGTTGATCGGGATTCAGCATGTCCCAGGCTTAACATTGAAAACTGAAAGAAAGGCCTTTCATGACATGAGGTCGGCTTGAGGAAGACGACACAAAGTTTAGCCGCGGTCCAGTGATTTCATATTGCTAGTTAGTGTGGATAATTGATGAACGGGTACGAGAATGGATCCTTGCAGTTATCCTATCTAAGAGGTTATCTGGTATTTATTAATGTTCAACTCAGAATAGGATACCACTCCACCGCCAATAGTATATGATGGCCAACTCGGTCACAAGCTCTATCGATCTAGTCTATAGGTCTGTAAGTCAATTCTCATGGCAGTGTGGCAAGCAAGCTTATCAAGCAGCATGTCTGTGGCATATGTCCGGTTTCGGGTCCCTTGCTTGAGATCCCATGCAGGCAATGCCCGAATAGGTACCTCTTCCCGGCGCCCTGGGCCAATTCCGCGGAAATTATTTGCCTCGACATGATCGTCAGCCCGTTCAGCTCAACTTCGTCAAGCCGCAGAGAAATTTGACCGATGAACAAGTTCAAGTCACACGGCGTTTCTTCGAAATCGTCAGGCAATGTGTGACCCTCAGACTGCTTCCTTTCATGCTGTAACCCATGGTTTGTACATATCCCTTGTTAAGAGTTCCATGACATCATCATCGAATAAAATTACTCGCTGGCGCCAGTCTTCCATTTTATAAAATCAGTCACAAGTCTATCAGCACCGCTTCAGCATTCACAACAATATATCTACAGTCATATCTTACTTGATTAAACAGATGTATGAGACCCCAGCCTGCTTTCAGTGACCAGCTGAGGGCACTATTCATTGAATACTTAGTTATAAAATACACTGTAAGGGGCCACTGGTATTTAGATTTGGCTTGATCCGACTGCTACTGGACAGTAAATTTATGCAAGGCCTCTCGAAGCAAGGTGCCTAGGGATATACACATGACAAGAACATCATTCGACAGCTTCATTCTCTACTTCGGGCCCTACCATACCCACCGGTCGAAGTGTCTTTCGTCACCTTCAATTTCCCATCACAGAGCATTGCCGTTACGAGCTCCGTCTGATTACTATAAGGCTGTAGCTGCTTTTAGTAGAGAGTTTTGGTACAGGTCAAACCAAGTTTATAAGATGCCCCCAGTTGCTCCGAAGATAGACACCTGCGTAAGTTACTGGCAGGTTTACAACTCCGCCAACATAATCTGTCCAAATCGTGGCCTCTACATATATTTATATCTTTCAGATCAGCCTTGTCAATGCTCACTTACTTTTCGCCAGTACAGCTGAGGGTTTAGCATATGTCAAAATTTATGAAGGAGCTGAGGACGAACAGCTTGACCACAGTGAATGCCACTGGCAACAAGACAGGATATATTAATTTAATAATTGAGGTTTATAGCCGGGGCAGACTGTGTTGACACTGCGACAGGTGTAATTGAAAGGTCCAGTTAGAAATGGTAGAACAATCATCTCATGAAAAATGCTCCATGAAACAAAGCTTATCCCATGTTTGCGATTGGGTTTAGATAGCGAGCAGGCGGAGGTTTCTTTCTCCGATGATATACTGGATAAGAACATCTCCGGGCGCAGGACCTCCACTCCTCCGAACAGAATGCTTGGCGGCAAACGTGTCTCCAATTTAGACCAAAGTAAAAGCAGTACAAGATGCACCTAAATTTAGCGGGAACAACAGCACTCACATTTCCTGCCCCTCGACCTGCAAACTCCGACCCTCAACTCCAATTTCCACCCACCATGACCAAACCAACAATCCCCGCTCAGGACATTCACAACGTTCTCAGCAATGTCCTACCCCGAATCAAAAGCCACGTTGAAGCCCAAACATCCGCATCAAAAAAGCGCCCATTTATTCTGGGCTTGACGGGCCTCCAAGGAAGTGGGAAATCCACATGGACTGACGCACTTGTACAAGCCTTGAACGATGAACACGAATACAACACAATCAACATATCTCTCGATGACCTTTATCTCGATCATGACGACCTTATCCAAGTACGAGGCAACAACCCCTCCAACAGACTTCTTCGAACTCGAGGGCAACCAGGCACTCACGATATCGCACTTGCAGTCGACTTCTTCGACAGTTTAACAAAGTCATCGGAGAAAGTTATTCCATCTTTCGACAAAAGCCTATTTAATGGAGAGGGTGGCCGAGCACCCCAAGACACGTGGCGTCGCATTGCAGCAGATGAGACCATCGACATTGTTATTTTCGAAGGGTGGTGTGTCGGGTTCCAACCATTGCCAGAGGTTGAAATCACGCGTCGCTGGAATCACGCGAAAGAAGTCTCCGCGGGAGGCAGCTTGAAGCAGACGCTTGGGGAGCATGAGCTGGAGCATTTGCTACAGGGTAACGAAAATCTCCGACAATATTGCGAGTTATTCATGGGACCGCAGAATTTTGACTTTCTTGTTCATCTGGATACGGACGATTTAATCAACGTCTATGGATGGCGCCTTGAACAGGAACATGCTCTGCGAGAGAAGAAGAAGGGCGCCATGTCTGATGAGGAAGTTATCCGTTTTGTGAAGGGGTATATGCCTGCTTACGAGCTATATCTCGATCAATTACGAAGCGGGTTCTTCTCTGGTGAGGAAGGGAAAGGGCAATTAACTGTCCTTCTGGGCGAGCGAAGGAAAGTTATGTCAATGCATCTTGTTTAACATTATATGAGTACAGTGTTCGTTGGCTATGTACGATACAGAGCCGTTTACAACATGTTTCCGTGGATTATCCAAGGGCCATCTGCCACGCTCCATAGATCGTTCATGAAAAGGTAAGATGGATCGGAGAAAGAAAGCGGATCCTGTCCGAGTCCCTGGTTGAGTACGGCGTTGCTATTCGCCATGTTGCCGAATATTAGACCGGCGGATGTTTGTGCGTGGGAAGCGTCGTTCGAGTTTATGTCAATCATATCACTGGCATTACGAATGAGATTGGGCGAGTCGCAGTGGTCGATTGGGTTGACCCCCTGAGGGGCAGAGTCTGTCGATGGTTCAAAATGTTGTGGACTCATAGAAGGCGACAGACGATGGTACGTTGTAGGCCCCGTTCTGTGGGTATTTGGAAAGGCGGAGTTCATGCCCATCGAAGCGGACGGATGACTTCTATGCTGGGACTCTGGTCTCATCGCCCCTCTGATATTTGAGGGGCCGAGCTGGGAGGCGTTTCCATCGGACAAAATCCTTGCAGCGTTTTCATGATCCTCCCGACTGGACTGGTTCATTGACAAGGCAGATACCATGCTCTTAATCCCCTCTATGCATGTTTCGGGCCAGCTACTTCCACGCAAAGCAAGATTCTGAAGGACAGAAGTCCCCATCCGACCGTATTTTAATGCGGTATCGATCGGGAGCTCGCCTTCCCATGACGCGTACATCAGGATGAGACAAGCCATCCATGTTGTCCATGTAAAGGAAGGCCAGGTCATTGGTGCTTGGGATGGAGAAGACATGTATTTCTTTAATGCTGCAAGCACAGATCGCGATGATTCAATACATGTCTGTAATGCATTTTTGCAATCCTGGTCCTGGTTGGGCTTCTCGGCGGTAAGCAACGGTCGGTTCAAGGCAATGACTGCCTCGTGTCGTAGGACAACGAGAAGCAGTCGATGATATGGGGCTAGCGGTGAGCCTTGTCGTGATTCTGTATCTGCATCGTCCTCCGTAGGATAGACATCGTCGTACACTTCATTCCACCATTGTGAAAGCTCGCCGTTAACATACGATGCCTCAACAGGGCTGGCATGACTATGCAAGACAGACTTGTTGCGAAGCTCAATTATCAAGCCACGTACCCGGGCAACTTTAGCCATGTGGCAAGATAGTCGTAGTCGATGATCGACGTGGCCTTGTGGTGTTGCAATAACACTTGAGTGCCTTTCTTCGCCCGGATAGCAAACATCAATGTCGTCATCTCGGATGCTAAGCGGGATCCCGAGGGCTTGTGATAGATATCGTTCCAGGGTGTATATGGACCAGAACAATCGATATCTAATATCTTTTTCGAGGCTACTGAAGCACGAAAAGCGAGCAGGACATCGATGCAACCCCAGATGATAAGCAGTGCGAGTGATGACTCCACCAACCCGAGAAGCGGCGTTAAGACGTAACAGAGACGTCAGGGTCAGCTGGGCACAGAACGTCGCTTGCAAAAGTAGTATCGTGGTTGGTTCCATGAGCAGACTCTGAATATCTTGTATGATGTGATGTACAGATTGAAATACCAGATTGGCTGGAACTGGTTTGGTGTTTGCATCCGAGCCATCTGTCTGTCGATGATCGGCAAGAGATATCGAGACGAGAGAGCGAATAATAATCATGTCTAGTCGGCTGATTGCTGGAATCCCCTGGTTCGCGAGAGTTTCCATCGACTTGAGGACAGTTGGTGCATGAAGAAAGGGAAAGATGGGGTGCCAGTTCTCAAAGTAGCAGCGAGTCCAACTGGCTAAATCATCGAATGATAACGAGGGATTTGACTCAAAGTTCAGCTCCTCCCTCGACCACAGCTCATCTGTATTGTGAGAGTTGAAGTCGCCGGAGTTTCGCTGCAATCGATCATCTTCTCCTGGCACCGAGGTTCGATTCCGTGCTCGCTGCAACTCGGCGGATCGACGAGCAAAGGCGTTGTAAACCTGACGAACGAAGTGAATGCCGCTAGAGCTTCCAAGAAAAGTGGCTGGTCCATCGTTTTGAGATTCTCTCATCACTCCGATCTCGCGGGGCGAAGGTCGTGATGCACCTGCGGTGGAGGCGCGCTTGCGTCTTTTGGCAGCACGGGGAGCGGCATGCCAATCGGTTTCATTCTCCTCCAGGCGGGAGCCAAATGAAGAGGGGGACACCATTTCAGTGCTTGCCTGTCGTCACATTTCCACGAAACGGGGTGTTATTCGCAGTGTTCGAAGTCGCACACTACGAATCCGAGGCTTGAAGTTATCGATTTGGTTGCGGGCAGTGCTTAAAGTTGCTTAGTCATTGCTGGTGCACTTGACCACCACATCATATGTAGGTTAGTCACACAACCCGTACTGCCCTAAGCAGAATACCCTGCTTGAATAAAACTTCTCAATAAATATGGAATAAGTCAATATATTTTCTATTTAGCAGAAAGATATATCCCATGTCCCGTACAGTCCAGTTGACCTGCTGCTTGTCGGTTAGTGTCACGTGACTCAGTGACCTGGGCTACCAGCACGCCCTGTTAAGCCCCCTTCGCACCTCCAAGTTATCGTCTAGATAGCAAAAACGGAACCAACACTTTAGCCTCATAGGTTTCCTTGCTCGGCAATCCGACAGTCTTGAAAGTGGCAATTGCAAGTTCAACGTCATATCAACATTCGGCACTCGAACATCAATTCACCATAGAGAGTACCGTCGGAGGTTTCTTTCTCCGGGTGACGCGGTGGCTTCCCGCAGATACATCAAAATCAGTCCGATCGGCGGCAAAAGACACTTTTCAGGCTGACTGCCCTTGATAGTTCACCGGAGATATTCTATTTTCATATCAAGTTGATTGTACTACAGGCGGTGAGGAATGGGACGGCAACGATCTAAACGGGCATCCAGTACCGACATGCCAGGTAGGTATAGCACCTTCACGTCTACGGACCTGTAAGTTGATGATAATTAGAAGATGATGATACTCTAAGCCCTATCTCCTGTGAGGTATGCAGGCAGCGGAAATGCAAGGTGAATTAGTATTTCGTCGATCCATTGTTCCTGCAGCGCTAATCCCCGCATAGTGCGATCGCAGACTGTATGCTGAACCGCCATCCATGATATCCCTCCCTTCATCGGAGCTTTTTGGTCACTAACATACCCCTGCAGCCCGTATTGCTCCCAATGCTCTAATGAAACATCAAAATGCAAATATCCTGAAAGCGGCAAGAGGTACGAACAATCCGTGCGATCGACCCGCACTCCACAGCTAATAAACGTTCATTTGGCAGAGGCTTGCCTCTCGGATATCTAAATCAATTAGAGCAAAGACTTGCCGAGACTGAGTCGGCCCTTTATGGTGCTCTCATGGCATTGGGCTCAATGGGTCCAACAACTACTTTGCTCCAAGCCACCACAAAGCCGGATTCGCTACAAAAGTCGAAAGCTGCACGAATGGACGAATGGTCGCGATTGCCGCTTCGAGGTTGGCCCGACATATACCACTGGAAGGCATCCATGTGCGATCAATTTACGCTCAACCGGTCGCAAGAGGTACCGCTCGTGGATCACTCGACAGCTAGTCATGCCATTTCAGCTTCGCCTGCTGCGACTACCATCCACAGTCACAGCCCTCAAGGTGAATTAGAAGCTTCGGGGCCGGCTAGCTTTGCGTGGCACCCAGGCGAAGATGTCAACATGGGCAGTCCCTATAACGTCTATCTTCGACCCCCGGGGATGGTTTCTTCTCCGGTATTTTCAAGGGACCCAGCTCCGGGTCCAGCAGAGACCATAGTTAATCCATTTCCCGACTTTAGTACCGCCACTGTGACGGGTAATAGTGGGAAAGAAGACGAGCATTCCACAATGGCGGACGAGTTGTCTAAAAGCAAGCCTAGTATATACTTCTAATAACAAACAAAATAAAAATAAAAGCTTTTGTCAGAGTTACCCTCCGCTATAAATCGATGTGAAACAGTGGGCTTATGACATGATACGCCCGAAAATGTCGATCACGGGCTATGAACGATAGGATCCTGATGATGAAAGAGTGCAGCCGCATCAGCGGATTCCTTCAACATCTCACAAATTTAAGACTTTGCCAAGGTGGCCAAGCCTCTACTCGGGATGGGTGGAGATCAAACGTACTCTAAAGTTAGGAAGAGCGACGCACAGACCCACAACCCGAGATGATTTCTAGTCCAAAGGTAGAGGCGGTACATTGGGAAAGCTGCAGCAATTCTTTGGATGGATCTTGAATCTATAAGAGGACTTATATACACGCTAATAATCTATGATGCCACTGAATGTTTAGAAGACACAGCCTCTCCTTCCATATCTAGCCCTTCACCAATATGACCCTCTGCCTCAAATCCCTCATCCATGCCTGGCCACAACGTCCGGCGGGTGAAGTACGCCCATACGTGGAGACAAAAGCAGCCTAACCATAGAGCGACTTGAATAATGGTAGCTGCACTGCCAACCCACTGGATAGGCTTCGAAGCAACCAAGTCTCCAATCTTGATCGTTGCCAACGCAAACCCAGTATTGGGGAACACCGTTGCCCACCAAGTGATATCAAACTTCCACTCATGGTAGGCAGCAAAATTGCTAAGCCACCCAAGCATCCAGAGAAAGAAAGAGAAGATCCACATGAAATGGACAAGAATACCGCAACAATGAGTAGAACTTCTGCGGTATTGACATGCGAGGCCAAAGGAATATAATGAGCAGGGAACTTTTCTGTTGCAATCTCAGCCATTCCCATTAGCGCGACAGCAGTAAAAGCCGGTGGTCCAATAGCAATGAACATCTGAGGTCTACGGCGCATGGGCGGTAGGCCATGGTGGTGAAGGCCATAAAAATATTCACCTAGTATGAATAGGGAAATCAAGAAGCCAAAACCCTGCAAGCATGTTCCAGCAATAAGAATAGGGATGGCAAAGTGATTAGGCTGGGCTCCGGCGAGTAGTGAGGCAGCGGTACCGCCGAGCATGGCCGGAAAGGACGGAAGGAGGCGCACGAGCCAGAAAGGTTGTCGAGAAGCCATGCGGGTTTGATAAAGATGCCAGTTAAGGCCAACTGCCAGCGAGATTACCACGGCTGTATAGACCCAAAATAGGACCAGCTGAACATATTTCAGCCAACTTCCACAGGCAGGAACGCCGTAACATTCTATTCCGAAAAGTATAGTAGCGAAGCCCAAAGCAGCTTTAGGAATGAGATAGGTTTCTTCCGGGTCGTTGAATGTATTCCTGAAGGCGTGTCGGTTTCGGGTGAATCGCGTGATGAGTGATGCCCAAATGGCCAAATAAGTGATAATATCAAGAATGAAGAATATCTTTCCAATAATCATAAGACCAGGAAATTTGTGAGGGGTGTTGTAAAGCAGGGTACCAATGCTCCCAGTGCTCATCGAGACTGAAAACCACCCCCAGGAGACCCGACAAATTCTGTCGACAAAGGTCATTGAATGCATGATTCTTTCTTGAGCAGACATTCCAGAAAGACAAAAGCAACGTAATTGCTCAAACAAACAAAAAGACACTAGAAGCAAACAGAAGAAAATGAGCAACGGAATGAAAATTCTGTAGGGAATAATTGAGACAAATAAGGGAAGTGAGGCAACGGCCAGGTCAGGTTTCCTGACCTCCCGATGGAGAAGGCAGTGGAGCCTAGGGGGTCTGGGGCCCCATGGATACACATAAGATGAAATGCCGACTTTCCGGTATGAGGTCAAATTTCATATACATTCGTTCCAATGATCCTTTTCCGAAAAAATAGGCTCTCGGTACCCCATTTGTTCGCATACATAGTTATCCGTATTAACTCTCCCTGGAAGAGCTGTGCTCCAGTCATCCCTTGATTTCCATACCTCTTCCTTGAAAGGAGACCATGCTATAGAACTGGTGGCAGTGAGACATATGGTAAAGAAAATACCGTATTTGCGTTCCGGCATTGGACGGGGGGCTCTCGAAACTTGGAAGAAGCTCGAATGAAGTCATCGTGTGGCCTGAAATCTAGACCGGCGAACGAGCTTCGAGGATGAGTAAGACCTGGTAGTAATCGATGCATTCGCAATATATAGGAGCTGGACTCCGCCAAATGGCAGAAGTAGATAGCATCCTCTCTATCAGTTTGGATAAGGTTGCTATTTAAGCTATCCGTTCATATGGTGGTTTGCCAAGATAAGGAGAGCCTAATAGACTTGGCAAGATCTCCCCAAATCCTCGTAGTAGCTGCATATCAGATGCTTAGTATGGCTTACTAGCTTGACTTGACCAGTCATCTTCCAGGTATTCACTATATGATGTCTGGGCATAGCTTGCTATAGAAAACATTATTGCTCTAATCTATTCGCCCTTCATGAGATGCAGAATGCCAGACATAAGAAAAAAACAGAATACAGATACTCTGATAGTCTCAACAGGTCACTTGATCATAATATTGCCTATTATCGTCATCTGAAATTATAAGGGGTTGGTCAGGGTCAAGTGCCCTCTGCATGTGTATACTTTGTCAATAGAAGCGTGACTTAGTCAGTCCATCGTGACAATGCGAGTCACCAAAAAGGCTGCCATCTAGTTCAGATTACTCGTTACGAAACTTGCAATATGCGATAATTTCACGATTGGAGAGAATTTACAGCTCATAATCTGTCTCCCGTCATCTTCTCTGGCTGAGCCTTGGAGTCGAGACCATCTACCGGAGAAGGAAAGCTCCGACGCTTCATTCCCCTCAGCCGGTCATCCACCGGACTTGAACATCTCCGAGCAAAAATACCTCATTGGTCACAGAGTCAAGCGTCATAACAGATTGCCACTTTGAACTAAAGAAGACCAGTCCAGGCATTGGCACCAAACTGCTTATAACCGAGCAAACACTAAAGCTACCCCTCCATTTACCCCTCTATCTATCTCAAATCACTTCAATTCTACACACGCCACACCTGATTCACAATGTCTCCCTCCGTCACTCGCAGAACATACAGCATTGCATCTATCCCCGCGGATGGAATTGGTCCAGAGGTCATCGATGCCGGTATCACCGCCTTGAATGCTTTGACCGATACCCTCCAGACTTTCAAGCTTGATTTCAAGCACTTTGACTGGAGCTCTGAGACATACAAAAAGACCGGCAAATACATACCCGACGGAGGTCTTGACGAATTGAAGAAGCACGACGCTATCTTTTTCGGCGCTGTTGGCGCCCCTGGTGAGTACCCTGGCATCTGAAGACAAAACATTCTCTAACAGGTGTAGATGTCCCTGATCACATCTCTCTCTGGGGTCTTCGTCTGGCTATCTGCCAGCCCTTCCAACAATATGCCAATGTCCGCCCCACTCGAGTATTCCGGGGTACCCAGTCTCCCCTCCGCAACTGCAACATTGGGGATCTCGACTGGGTCATTATTCGCGAGAACAGCGAAGGCGAGTATGCGGGCCAGGGAGGTCGTTCTCACACAGGCAAGCCTTGGGAGTCGGCAACCGAGGTTTCTGTCTTCACTCGCCACGCCGTGGAGCGTATCATGCGTTTCGCTTTTGAGACCGCTCAGAAGCGGCCTCGCAAGCTCTTGACTGTTGTCACCAAGAGCAATGCTCAGCGTAACGGAATGGTTCTGTGGGATGAGGTTGCCAAAATTACGGCTAAGGTAGGCCACTCTTGCTAAGCAGACATCTTATTATCCGAGTGCTAATATGGGAATTTTTCAGGATTTCCCCGATGTCACTGTTGATAAGATGCTGGTCGACGCTATGACCACCCGCATGGTTCTGAACCCCAAGAGTCTTGATACTATCGTGGCAACGAACCTACATGCCGATATCTTGTCTGACCTAGCTGCTGCTCTGGCTGGATCTATCGGCATTGCCCCTACTTCCAATCTCGATCCTACCCGCGAGTACCCTAGCATGTTTGAGCCTATCCATGGCTCTGCTTTTGATATCACTGGCATGGGTATCTCGAACCCTGTTGCTACCTTCTGGACCGCGGCTGAAATGCTTGCTTGGCTGGGCGAGCAGGAGGCTTCCGAGAAGCTTCTGACCTGTGTTGAAAATGTTTGCGAGCAGGGCATTCTCACTCGTGACTTGGGTGGCAAGGCTAACACCAAGGAGGTTACCGATGCTGTTGTTGCCGAGATTAAGAAGCTGGGCTCTAAGTAGAATTTTGGGATGACTGTACTCTTGGCTTAAGAGGGCCTTCCGTTGTAAATAGAATTGCAGGTTTACGAATATAAACTACAGATAGTAAATGAATATTGAGCACTATTATTGGAGATCATGGAACAAGGGGAAAACGTTGCGAGTACTTGGCATAATAAATATGTTCCCGCTTCTATTGAAAATACTCGCTGAGGGGACAACTCCGAGCCTCAAATCCAGTCACACATCGCCTTATGCAGCCCGTAGAATATTTCAAGAGTGCTACCAAGTTGAACACACTAATACGCCCTGGTTATCCTAGACATAGGGAAAGAGATTTGCCGACAGGAAATGATCATCAACCTCTGTGGTTTTTTTTTTTTTTTTTTTTTTTTTTTTCCCACTTGATTTCCCTTATTTTTTTTTTACTTCCCTTTTTTTTTCGCCTCTGGGCGTGGATGGAGGCAAGTAAGTTAAGTTACTTTTTTGGACTGAGCGTGTATGGGGGAAACGGAGGGGGAGGATTGGCGGGATGTGGGTTTGGAGCATGAATGGCTGATACCGTAAGGTAAGGTGTGACAGACCCT